TCTGGAATTCATTTTCTTTCCACCTAAATTTCATCTTCGCAATCAAACAGACCCAAAGTAAACTGACCAGGAATAATCTCCCTAATATTAAGTCAAGACACAACAGTCAACGAATCGTATGCGCACAGTTTTCACACACGTCTGTGCGCAGTGCAATACCCTAAAATATGTGATGGGGCTCGGGACCCAATGTCAGCAATTTGTTTTCCAATCCACACCACAAATTTTATTCAGCACAACAAATTTTAATTAGAATTAATGTTTTTAATTATATTCTTTATGATCTTACAATGTCTTTGGTCTTTTATTACTGGTTGCTATTACATACGTTGCACGAATTTTATTATTGTATTTTTATCAATATATAAATTTTAGTTTTTTTGGAAATTTTTTGAAGCAATATTTAATAATATTTCTATGATATAAGAAAATAATTGTAAATTATTTTTACAATTGCATAGCAGTATGTTATCTAGAAACAATATGCTTGTATAGTTCATTCTTGAATAAAAAATATGCAAACTATTTTGCTTGTATTCTTTGATGGTGTTGATATGATTAAATTGAACGTGAAAATTATATTTCTAAATTTTGTGTAATTTAATATTGAAAAATTGAAAAAAAAAAAAAAAACTCTTTGCACAGTGTGGAGAGAGTTGAATCAAGTGCGGAGTAAAAATAAAAAATAAAAAAATGTGCAGAGTAAAAATAAAATAAAAAATCTCTGCACAATGCGAAGAGATGACAAACCAACTCTCCGCACGGTATGAAGAGCAAAAAAAACTCTCCGCATTGTGTGGAGAGAGGTAATCTCTTCGCACAGTGTGAAGAGTTGGTCTGCACCATGACAAAACTGTCCGCATAGTGCTTAGAGAGTTGAACCATGTGCGGAGTTAAAAAAGTGTGGAGAGAAAAAAACATATCCGCACAGTGCGGAGATAGTTGAACCATGTATGGAGAGTTGGCAAACTCTTCGCACAGTGCGGAGTAAAAAAAAACTTTCCGCATAGTGCGGAGAAATAATAAACCAGCTCTCCGCATAGTGTATAGAGAAAAAAAACTCTACATACAGTGCGGAGAGTTATTTTCAAATTCCTTAATTACAAATCAAATTTCAAAATTATAAATTTTTCGTATATACAACAAAATAGAGTCAAAAAATATGGCTCAAAATCAATTATGTTTTCTTTAAATTTCAATCATAGTTCAATTTCTAAGTATGCAAATCATATTTATGGTATTGGAAAGGAGTTTTCTTGTAATTCATACAATGAAACAATATATGAGTTGTGCAAAAAAGGGGGATATTGATAATACTATGACATTGCTTTCACAAATGGAGGCTCTAGGGTACCACCCAAATTGAATATTTTACACTTGCTTGATGACAGTTCTTGGACATTAGAAGCGGATACAATTTTCAATGAAATTATACTTTCGGGTTGTAGGCCAGGAATTAAAGTGTTCAATGCATTACTCAAAAGTTGTTTAAAAAAGGCCTCCTGGAACTTGCAGATAAAGTCTCGAGAGTTTTTCTTTTTCTCTTCACACTGTGTGGAAAGATAGTTTGCTATCTCTCCACACTTTGCGGAGTCTTTTTTTTTTTTTGGCTCATGTGCGGAATTTTTTTTTTTTAAGTTTATATATACTAAAAATAATATTATTTTTTTAATGTTGTTGGCATGATGCGTGTGTGGAAGAATATTTGTCAATCACCATAAACAAAATTCTTCACAAAATGCAAAAAATAAAAATGTATAGTAAATCTTCTTATTACATTAATAAAATTACAATAATTTTTTTTTTACAAATAACATAAAAAATTATTTTTATCATCAACAAAAAAACACATTTAAAAATTAGCAATTTCATAACCACTTTTTTTTTTAATTCTCGAAAATACAATTATAAAAAAAGAAATAATATTGAATTATAACATTTAATGCTTAAGAAATTCAATATTAAATAAATTTTATATATTTATAACAAATTATAAATCCATATATGCAGCTTACCGTATTTGTAGGCAGCTTACCGTATATATTATCTATCGTATTTGCAAACAACTTATCGTATATGCTGCCTACTGTATTTGCAGCCTACTGTATTTACAAACAACTTACCATATATGCTACCTACCGTATTTGCAGCTTACCATATATGCTACCTACTGTATTTGCAACTTACCGTATATGCTGCATACCGTATTTGCAACTTACTGTATTTTTATATACCGATTTTTGCACTTACAAATACCAAGAATACAGAATATCGTACATTCACTTACCAAACCGAATTTAAAAAAAAAATTCAGATTTTTATTTTTCCAACATAAGCATAAAATAAATATTAAATATATATGAAGCACAAAATATAAATACATATAAATATGGTGCTCGATCTTCAATTTTTCAATATTGAATTACACAAAATTTAAAACTATAATATTCACATTCAATTCAATTATATCAACACTATCAAAGAATACAAGCAAAATAATTTATATAATCTCGTATATTTTTTTTAAATGACACAATACTGTTATGCAATTGTAAAAATAATTTGCAATTATTTTCTTATATCATGGAAATATTTCTAGATATTGATTAAAAAACTTTTCAAAAAATTAAAATTTATAGACTAATAAAAATACGATAAATGCAAAATTCGTGCAACGCACGTGATAGTTACTTTGTGGAGTTTTTTTTTAATATACTCATGACAGTTTATATTTACTAAAATTATTATTATTTTTTTAATGCTAGTGACATGATGTGTGGAAGAATATTTGTTTGACATAATTATTTTTTTAATGCTAGTGGGATAATGTGTTGAAGACATTTGTTTGACATAAACAAAATGAAAAATAAAAAAGACATCATGTATAGTAAAATTGGATTCATTTACTATTGCATGGATAGTAGACCCTCCTTCCCTTTTTTATTAGAAGTTAGATTATTGTTGTTGAAAATAAATTTTTTAATAGCGAATTTTTGACAAATGTGTGGTTAAAACGTAAAAAAATAAAAGAATTTATGTCCAAAATATTTTATTGTGAAAATAGGATTAAAAATGAGTTAGAATATATATATATTTTTTAAAATTTGGATTAAACATGGACTTAATTTTTGTCAGCGGATTCTTATCTTAACTTTTAATTAACTGATTAGTATATCTTTCTTCTAATTAAAATTATTTTTCAAATATTCTATTTGTGAGTTTTAAAATGAGAAAAAATATTTTGTCGAACTATTATATTTATAATATATTTTCCTAAATTAAACATATGAGGAGCCAATGAGTCTTTTCAGGTACTCTTAACGGATTCTTTTCAATAGAAACTATCATAATAAATAAATTGTACTAATTGATTGAAGGTTAAAGATAAAAATGCAATGAAAAAAATTTGGAACATGAATGCCACAATGAACAAAGGTAGGAATATCTTAATTACAATCATAATGTAGTACATCAAATAAAAAATATGGTGTGAATATAATTATTATTCCCCATATGTTATCGACATATATTATGTCCTCCAATAAAAAACAATTAATAAGTGATTACCTAAAATAAATAAATTAAAGTTTGAATTTTTAAATGAAATAGAATAGCCAAATTTTTAAAATTAATTAAAGTTTAGCTGGAACATAACCAAATCAACATTTGATTCTATTACGATAGAATGTGAGCAGTCTTTAAGAAATGCCAAATAAATTAATGGTTAAAATGCCTAAATAAACAAGCCACATGCATGGCTCCAATACCCTATTCAAACACCAAATATCTCAAAATAATTAGCCTAGTTTGATTTAGATTAAAAATAAATTTTTACTAGATTTTTATAAAAGTTAATGAAATTTGTGATTGAAAACTCGTAGATCCCTTAAAATATATAGTAAAAATTAAGGGTGTGTTTGATTACATTTATTTTCCATGGAAAATATCAGTTTTCCACCCAAATTCCTACTTAGAGTGTTTGATTGCTATTTTTTTCCATGAAAAACATTTTCCAACTTTTGAAAATATGCCTAATTTTCCTTGTTTTTAAGGAAAACATTTTCCTTAGGTAGATGTGGTTTTTATTTTCCACAAAAGATGGAAAATATTTTCTTTTCTAGATGATATTTTCTATGTCAATCAAACACACTCTAATTGTTAATTTTGACTTAAAATTAAATTTTAATTTTAATATACATCAAACAGGTGCTTAGTAAATAATAAATAATTATATCCTCTTGGCTCATATCTGACAAAAAAATTTAAAAATCTATTTTTTCTCAAATTCATTTTCAATCACATATTTTTTTAGTAACATAAATTTTTGCAAGTATTCTTCAATATGATTACTTTTCAGAAAATTTATTTTTAAAAAATTTATATAAAAAAGCTCTTAATTGTAGGAGAGGACATGACAATACTCACATCTTATATTATCTACAACTCTGCACCAAAATTAAGCTAAGTTTTGAAATTTTTTACACCAAATCTTATACCGAACTAAAAATCATCTCGAGTCAATATACAAAAACTTACATTAAATGAACAATATTTAATCCTTTTCTTCATTTTATATATTTAAAAAGCTATTTATTATTTATTTTATAGTTACATAAATTACTAAATAATAATAATAATAATAATAATAATAATAATAATAATAATTGTATTAAAAATTTTATAACACAAGTGACACGAATACCCTTAATTAATTTGTTCAACAAATCAAAATGAAGGGTAAAATTGAGCATCAAAGTAGTGCGAAGTTTGGTGCTACAGTAAAGATATTTTGTACCAATATTTGAGACATTTTGGTATTTTGGTGACTCCTTTGGATTCCCCTTAGGTTAATCCCATTTTAAACACGTGCAATACATTATTATGGCATATATAAGAGTTAAACACCGAAGAGTTCTGCATCTTTCGTCTGTCTCTCTAGTGCTCTGTCTAATCTCTCTCCGTGCAAAAACACAAAGATATACCTAAAACGACGTCGCAAAATGAATGCAGCTGAATTTCTCGTGGTCACGGTGACAAGCTGGTTAACACCAACTGTTCTCTTCTGCGTCTTGAACCTCACAATTGTTACAATTGTCATCACTTCGTCCCTCAATAAACTCGGTCATCATCAGGACAACTCGCGTCCACAGCTCGTCCGAGTTCCATCTCTTTTAGAACGAGTCAAGTCCATCAACCTCTCTCTCTACAGCACCCAAAATCTCGAACCGTTGGATTCCGAATCCGCCGCCCATTACACCGCCCCTCCTCAAGAAGCAACCGATTATCAGAAGTCTGAAGCAAAAGTCGATGACATGAATCACAGTGAATCTGTGGAGGATATTCACGTGACGAGGAGTAGTTCTGAAATCTGCATGAAAGCTCCGGCAAAAAGGGTGTTAAAGAAGTCGGCTAGTGAGAAGGTGTTCGTGGCTGAGACAGAGGTAGAGGCGGATCTGCGGCGGCCGGTGACAGTGAGAGAAACGACGTATTATAATGGACCGGATGATGAGGCTGTGGATGCTAAAGCTGACGATTTTATTGACAGGTTTAGGCAGCAGTTGAAATTACAGAGATTGGACTCTATTTTGAGGTACCAGGAAATGATCAACAGAGGTCTCCAGAGATAGAAGCTTATTTTTTGGGACAGATATACCCTTCCTTGCTAGGATTTCTTTATGCAATCTGGATGGTGTGTTTAGTCATTTTACTGCTGATAATAATGCAATAGTAGAATGAATTTATTTTTTCTTACTGAATTAAGTTTCACGTTGATCTATTCAATTATATTTCTTTCTATTTTGTGACGCCATTATAATCATTCAAGTATTGTATATTAGTATAATAATACTAGGGGTGCATATTTTTATTTAAACGAGAATCGATTCCAGATGAAAAAAAATTTGAAATTGAAATTTAGAACCAATCGAGTTTGAACGGTTCTTAGTTCTTAAATCGAAATCTATGTATTCAGTTATGTAATTAAATTTCTCATTTTCATAAGTTTTTAATTTTTACAATTTACTCACCCGGAACCAATGACCCAATTGGATGCAATTAAAACCATCGGATTGAAAAAAAATAAAATAAAATTAACTGGTGATTTTTATGTTGTTCTCTGATATAGTGAATTCAATAAAGCCATAACTACAGGAAAAATTTAATAGAACTTGTATAGATGTTGACGAGACAAAATGTAAGTGGACAGTGATTTCTTTTTTCTCCCCATCTTCCAATAATGCCGCGTCATGGATTGTATGTAAGATTTTTCTATCAAAAATTTTTACACTTGTAGCATGATTGGAATGAATTTACGTTGGGAGAACAATTATTATTGGTACATAAAACTATTGAAGGAATGGAACGTCCAGATGAAGGCAATGATAGAAGACTTACATCGCCATCAGAGTGTCTCTAGAAGCAAAAGGAGTCACGATTAGCAAGGTCCTTCAATGGCCATCTTAGGTAAAAGTTGTCGATCTCAGGCTGGTTCACCACATCACGGCAATCATCAATTTCCAAGTGCTCGAATGACTAACCTCGTAGGCAAACCATCATGATTCGTCAACATTTTAGACAGAACTGGTGAGGGCAATGATCCCTCGAGAGTACGTCATCGAAATCCTTCCAGTTATTACATCTACAATAGCAAAGCTCATGATCATGATATAAAGACTCCTTATCCCTTGATCGTAAATTGTATGACGAGAAATCAATATGCTCGTGTTTGAGTAACGATGATGACAAGGGGAAAGAAATCTTGCCAAACTTCATCACGCAAAAATAGGCCAATTCTCGTGGTATGGCGACTGGGTAGATTACATAAACATCTACAAGAAAAAACTACATGGTTAGAACCATGCCGATAAGTGAAGGAACTTCAATACCACCCTAATATTGGATGCCAAAAGGTTGTACAAAATTCAAAAAGCATGTGGAGTTGGCCCTAGATAAAGGAGGAGTTAACCAATGCAATCTTAGGCAACCATTCCAGTGCCATCTATAAAGCTTGTCTCAGTGATGTACGATAGAATGAGGTGAGTCGCTGAAAAGCTATTTCAAGATATTCGACGGGGAGATGATAAAGGTCGAAAGCATCCCAGACGAAAAGGCACTTGATACATTGTGGACACTAATACAAACGAAGACCACATTTTGGAGATATGTGCAACATACGAACCCTTGAATATATACCCAACTGGGGAAATTGGTTAAAGATGGGATCCTTGCTGAGGATTCCATCGAAATATCCAAAAAGACAGAAAGACAGTAGGATAATCGGAACAAATCTTGAATGGATTACAAAGAAAGGCTACCCGACCACGCTATATGTGCAAAAATAGGTTCAACCAAATGAAGACGAACCTTGGCCATGACATCTTGTCCGCCGTAGCAACTCCGTATAGACACTTCCTCTAAAGGTCTACAGAATACATCGGATCCTAGATCATTACGTGTATGATATCCAAATGTCAAGACTGTAAGTATTATGCCATATGTTCAATCAACTTTGGACATAAATACTTTTGATATATAATTAATACAATTTAATGGCATATTTATTATTTAATTAATAGATAATTAAATAAATAATAGAGTCTGTAGATTTAAATTTTCGTAATTTATTAATCACAAGGAGTTGTGATTGTGAGATACAAATTACATCTGATTGAATTTTAAATTGTCTGTGGTCGTAAGTAATAACGAGATACGAATATCGTTATTACGGATAAATCATCACGCCTGTCATTTCTTACTTGTGAAGTAAGTAGTTGATCTTACAAGTTAAAGTGTGGTGACACTTAAATGAACACGTTGATATTTTGTTATAGAACAAAACATTGGAGACCCGCTGAGAGATTCCACATGGATAACTATCTGAGTGTCAGTGATTAATCTCTAAACGTTCGGTAGTGAAATTGGTCATTTGACTTGAGGTCGTCATGGCACCTTATATGAGGACAGTCATACTTTGGTGGTGTTGGATGTTACTCTGCAAAGAGCCGCTAATACGATATCGTTCGGGTACGTCAAGAATTGTATGAAGGTTGTGATTGATCAATAAATGATTCGTTGCTCTTAGATAGTAGGAGATTATGATCTGCATTTCATTCAATTAAGTCGATGATGAAATCCTTGGTCAAGGTGTACTCATAAGTCAAAAAGGAGTTTTCGACTTATATTGACTTAATAGTTGAATGAAAGATATGATCGATATTCAGGATTGACACAATTCCATGTCTCGTAATTGATCGGATCATATTGACGAAGGGATTATAGCTTCACGGTAAACGAACGAGTTTGGTTTTGTCATACCACTTGACATTTCCTATCACGTGTATTGCCCTGATACATTGCTAGATGTCAATTTGGGACGACGAGTGTGAATTGACGATAAATTAAAAGGGTGTTTTAATTTATCAATTTTGATTAGATCAAAATAATATTTCACGTCGTTAGGTATCGTGATCGGAAACCTGATGGGTCACACACAAAAGAGAATTGAAAAATTACAATTTATCAATTAATTAATTTAACAATTGTTGGATAAATTAATTAATTGTGTTGGTTATTTATAGACTCGAATTAATTAATCGGATTAATTAATTCACGGACCGAATTTAATTAAATAGATTAATTAAATATTGGACCGGACCAGGCGAGGCCCGTTTGGGCTTATATAAATAATGGCTAGGGTTTTCAATTCATATGATTTTTTTCTCATAATTATTCTTGCTAGTATAAGAGGAGAAAACCCTAGTAGATGTAATATTATTTTCTGTGTGGATCACCGTTGGAGGCTAGACAATTGGACAGTTGTGGGTGGCGAATCAAGATTGCTGGAACGAAAAGAAAAGCAAAAGGTTTGCAGAATTCTTCAAAGGTACAATATTTATCACGATTTCTATCTAAACACAAAAGGATCCTCGATGGGAATCGAAATAATTTTAATTTTTCGCTGTGCATATATAGGTAGATTCCCAACAAAGACATCCATTGAGAAACTAGTTGATAGTAGGCATAAGAGGAGAGGCAAAAATGAGGTGAATACCATCCCAAAGGACGAGCAAGGGACGACCCATGGTAAGGCAATCTCGTACTCAACGTGGAGATTGACCTAGGGACGATAATAGATGCAACTTTTGGAACCACGCCCTAAAGCATGACCAACCTCCTGCTGGTGACGGTGAATTGGTTTGTGAAATCAACGCCATCATTGAAGGGCTAACGATAAACTCAAGAGATGAAGTACATGCAAGAGGCCATAGAACCACCCTGATAGAGTTGGCAAGTGTACAGAACAGGTATCAACAAAAGTGACAAACCTATCATGTTCTTAGAAAAAGACGAGCCCAGTGCCCATATCCCCATTAGACACCTTAGTTTTGAGAGCTATCAGAGATGCAATGGCTTGGGATTGATATTAGTAGAGAACAGGAGCACCGTCAACATATCATTTAGAAGTAGCTTTTATCAATTGGATGTGGACTAAGGACTTATCCTCATGCCAAAATTATTTTTGGGTTCACATGTAGTATCTTGGGGCTAGGAACCTAACTATACTGGCCATAATAATAGGAAAAAAGATGTTCCTTGTCCAAACTTCATGGAATTTAAGTCAACGAAAAGTCCCCATGTTGTAGGTATAGGGATTGTCGACCTACTTTCAAGGAGCTATAATCTATAACATTTATACACAAAATTTACTTAATCATACACAGAAGAAAATAAAATAGATTTCAATTCCTAACAAAGATCTACTTTGCGTTTAGATAGAATTTGTGATAAAAAATTATACTTTCATTGAATTTCACAAACTTTTTATTTTTTCTTTATCCCAACAATCTTGATCTATCATCCACAACTATTCAATTGTCTAACTTTCAATGAAATTCCATACACAGAACAAGATTGAGAGAGAATTAGGGTTTTCTTTTCTTGTGCTAGCAAGAGTGAAAAATCTCTATAATTTCTAAACTCTAGCTACTTATTTATATAACGCGGTCCAATATTTAATTAACTAACTTAATTAAATCCGATCCATGAGTAAATTAATCCAATTAATTAATTCGGACATATTAATAAGCAACCCAATTAATTAATTTAATTTATTCAGTCCTTGTTAAATTAATTAATTGGTAAATCACAGTCTTCTAGTTCTTCTTTTGTGTGTGACCCATTAGGTTCTCAATTACAATGCTTAACGATGTGAATTATTATTTTAATCTAATCAAAATCGACAAATTAAAACACCATTTTAATTTATCACTAATTCACATCAACGGTCCTAGATTGACATCTAGCAATATATCAAGACAATACATGTGATGGAAAATAACACGTGGTATGAAAACTTCTTCATTTATCGTGAAACTATAATCCATTTGTCAATATGATCCGATCAATTAAGAGATATAGATAAGTGTCAGTCTCAATTATCGATCAAATCTTTCATTCCACTATTAAGTCAATACAAGTTGAACAAAGAATCTTTTATCACCAACGCTCCTAGTACGAACAAACGCGAAGAGGGCATGATCCTCGACAAGAGCCTCAACCCTTGCATTAAAGGCTACTCACACACCTAATCTATACAACAATTGAAAGCTTTTCCTACCGATCCTGAAATAGATGAAGGTATTTAAAATTTGGGAGCAAGATGGTAGAAGGTATGAAAGAAAAGATGAAAAAATTCATGCATGCAAACATTGATGTCTTTTGTTGGGTTTTAATAACCTATAAATCTCGGGTAATGATGCTACAGATTTGGATTAACATAATGTGGGTTGTTAAAAGCAGCTTAATTTATTAATGTTACTCACGGCCTAAATATTCACTTATTTGATGGCTCTTATAATCTTGGCCCATTCACTATATATCTTGGCAAATAGGTTACCTAACCTACTACTACGTGTTGCTTCCTTTTCATTGAGCAAGTAGTGTGTGATTATTGCATAGAGAAAAACATGTCTATGTGCGTGGTAGAAAATGGTGGCTGCCTTCTTATTATTTCTCCTTTTCGAGCCTTCGTCCATGGCTTTCTCTTGCCTTTGTGACTATAAATCACTATCATTTTCTTGCCCTTTTATAGGTGAGGATAAATAGCAACTAAAGTGGATAGATTGATTACGAGTTGAACCAGTATGAAATTGGTTATTGGTAGAGAAAGATATCGTGAAACTAAGCCTCAGAATCATGAAATAGAGTATGTTGGAGTGAGCTTCTACAACAATTGGTATCAGAGGTCCCCAAGTGTTGGATTTTCAGCTAAATAGCTAACCAAAGTTGGATCTAAAAATCGATAGAATTGAAGTGGCAAATAGATTGAAAAAAACTACCCAGTTTTCCTTCAAAATTGGACCTGCTTAATTGATTTTCAACCAAACTTTAAACATTGTGGACAAATAGAAGCTGAAT